AGTTCTGCCTCAGCCTCCACAGGAGCTGGGATAACAAGCACACACCACTGCACCCAACTAATTTCTGTATTTTTAGTAGAGACATGGTTTTACCACGTTGGTCAGGCTGATCTCGAACTCCTGACCTCAGGCAATCCGCCTGTCTAGGTCTCCCAAAGTGCTGGGATTATAGGCGTGAGCCACCACACCCAGCCCACTTTACACAGATTTGGGTAGGAAGGTTTGTCTGATCTTACAAGATCTTGAACTCAAGATCTTAGAAGACTTTAAACTCTAAGCAGCAGGGCGCGGTGGCCCAAACCTGTAATCCCAGCACTTTGGGAGGCCGAGGCAGGTGGATCACGAGGTCAAGAGATCGAGACCATACTGCTCAACATGGTGAAACCCCATCTCTACTAAAAATACAAAACATTAGCTGGGCATGGTGGCGCACGCCTGTAATCCCAGCTACTCAGGAGGTTGAGGCAGGAGAACTGCCTGAACTCAGGAGGCGGAGGTTGTGGTGAGCCGAGATCGCGCCATTGCACTCCAGCCTGGGTAACAAGAGCGAAACTCCGTCTCAAAAAAAAAAAAAAAAAAAAACTCTAAGCAAATTTGAACGAATGGGTTTAAGCACTTATCTGGAGGCACCCCGTGGAGCCCATACCTGAAAGAACCGGCCAATCCCAAAACCATCAGACTCCAATTGTCAACTACAGGAGAACCCACTGCATACCTACAGAGACTATCCATTTAAGACCATTCACTGGGCAGGGCGTGGTGGCTCATGCCTGTAATCCCAGCACTTTGGTAGGCTGAGTTGGGCAGATCACAAGGTCAGGAGCTTGAAATCAGCCTGGCCAAAATGGTGAAACCCCGTCTCTACTAAAAAGATAAAAATTCTTTGGGAGGCCGAGGTGGGTGGATCACGAGGTCGAGATCAAGACCACCCTGGTCAATAAGGTGAAGCCACGACACTACTAAAAATAAAAAATTAGCTGGGCATGGTGGCGCACGCCTGTAGTCCCAGCTACTTGAGAGTCTGAGGCAAGAGAATTAGTTGAACCCAGGAAGCGGAGGTTGTGATAAGCCGAGATCACGCCATTGCATTCCAGTCTGGGTAACAACAGTGAAACTCCGTCTCAAAAATAAATAAATGAATAATAATTAGCTGGGTGTGGTGGCGGGCGCCTGTAATCCCAGCTACTTGGGAGGCTGAGAGAGGAGAATTGCTCGAACTCGGGGAGGCAGAGGTTGCGGTGAGCCGAGATTGCGCCACTGCACTCCAGCCTGGGTGACAGAGCAAAATTCTGTCTCTGAAAAAAAAAAGAAAAAGAAAAAATATTCATCACAGTCTCTCTTCCTGGGATTCAGGAACTGTTGGAGGTCATAAGCAATCACATTTACTAGGGTTTGTAAAATAAAGAACAAATCAGGCATTTCTACAGAAAAGAGATCTCTTAAACAGTCTCATTTAGCGGGTGGGGCGGGGATAGTTTTTTTCCAGGACTTCCAAAATCAACTCTGTTTTTTTTCATTTTTGTTTTTGTTTTTTTGGTAACAGCTTTACTGAGATATAAGTGACATAGAGTAATATTCACCCTGTAAAGTGCAGCGTTCCATCGTTTTTAGTATATTCACAGGTTTGTGCGACCATCATCACAAGTCAGTTTGAGAGCATTACAGCTCACGCCTGTAATCCCAGCACTTTGGGACGCAGAGGCAGGGAGATCACAAGGTCAGGAGATGGAGATCAGCCTGGCCAACACGGTGAAACCCCATCTCTAGTAAAAATATAAAAATTAAGCAGGGCACAGTGGCTCACACCTGTAATCCTACTACCTGGGGAGGCTGAGGTGGGCCGATTACCTGAGGTTGGGAGTTGGAGACCAGCCTGACCAACATGGAGAAACTCCATCTCTACTAAAAATACAAGAAAAAATTAGCTGGGCGTTGTGGCACATGCCTGTATTCCCAGCTACTTGGGAGGCTGAGGCAGGAGAATCGCTTGAACTCAGGAGGTGGAGGTTGTGGTGAGTAAAGATTGCGCCATTGCACTCCAGCCTGGGGGACAAGATCGAAACTTCATCTCAAAGAAAAAAAAAAAAATACAAAAATTAGCCAAGCGTGATGGCTTGCGCCTGTAATCCCAGCTACTCAGGACACCGAGGCAGGGAAATTGCTTAAACCTAGGAGATAGAAGTTGCAGTGAGCCAAGATCACACCACCACACTCCAGCCTGGTGACAGAGCGAGACTCCATCTTGGGAGGGAGGCAGGAAGAGAACATTCATATTAACCCCTAAATAAACCCAACACCCTTTAGCTGTCACCTACCTAAAGCCACTCCCCCAGCCTGAAGGCAATCATGAATCTCGTTGCTATCTATAGATTTGCCTCTTGTGAGGATTTCATGGAATCATACAATATGAGGTCCTTCGGGCCTGGCTGATTTTACTCAGCAAATGTTTCCAAGGTTTATCTATGTTGTAGCATGTATCACTACTTCATTCCTCTTTATGGTTGAATGATATCCCATTTGCTGCATTTATGACAGTTTATTTGTGCAGTGGTTTTCTTTGTTTTTTTTTTTTTTTGAGATGGAGTTTCACTCTTGTTGCCCAGGCTGGAGTGCAATGGTGTGATCTCACCTCACTGCAACCTCCACCTCCCGAGTTCAAGAAATTCTCCTGCGTTGCCTTCTGAGTAGCTGGGGCTGCAGGCATGCGCCACCAAGCTCAGCTAATTTTTGTATTTTTAGTAGAGACTAGGTTTCACATTTTGGCCAGGCTGGTCTGGAACTCCCAACCTCAGGAGATCCGCCTGCCTCGGCCTCCCAAAGTGGTGGAATCACAGGCGTGAGCCACCACCCCCAGCCTGTTTGTTTTGTTTCAAAAGTGATTTTTACCTCTCAAAAGTGGTATTTATAATGACACTGACTGAAAATTACATCAAACAGCGATAGCGCATGTCAAGCACTCTGCTCAGCGTACCTCCTATCACACTCTAAGGATAAAAAAGGGGAGAGAATTATCCTCATTCTATGTCCTCTCCATTTTGGCCATCTTTTTTTTTTTTTTTTTTGAGACGGAGTTTCACTCATGTTACCCAGGCTGGAGTGCAATGGCGCGATCTCGGCTCACCGCAACCTCCGCCTCCTGGGTTCAGGCAATTCTCCTGCCTCAGCCTCCTGAGTAGCTGGGACTACAGGCATGTGCCACCATGCCCAGCTGATTTTTTTGTATTTTTAGTAGAGACGGGGTTTCACCATGTTGACCAGGATGGTCTCGATCTCTTGACCTCGTGATCCACCCGCCTCGGCCTCCCAAAGTGCTGGGATTACAGGCTTGAGCCATCGCGCCCGGCCCATTTTGGCCATTTTATGAGCTCTTCATAGAGGTCTGAAATGATTCGACACCCAGATGGAAGACCGCAAGTCCCAGCACTGATTTGCAGTCTGGAGTCCATAGCTCTCAGGATATGACCGGGTGAGCAGGGAATTAGGACCACCTTGACCTCCAGCCATCTGGTCCTCTGCTCCTTGGGTAGCCCACTCCGTTGGGGGCTTAGTGAACATGTTTGGGCTCCAGAGATTATTTTTTCCTTCCACTCCTATCCTTAGTTTGGTGCTAACCAGGTGGGGGTACAGGTAGCTCTCTGAAAACCCTAGCAGCCTCAACTGACATCAGGCTGCAGAGAGCCAGGTCCCTCGGAGTCCTACTGCTTTCTCATATTCTTTTTTTGGGGTGGGGGGTGGGGGCGGTGTTTCACCATATTGGTCAGGCTGGTCTCGAACTCCTGACCTCAGGTGATCCGCCCGCCTCAGCCTCCCAAAGTGCTGGGATTATAGGTGTGAGCCACCGCGCCCAGCTCCTACGGCTTTCTTACTGTCGCCACAGCTTGGGTAAAATATGATATTTCTGAGCCTCTTTTTTTTTTTTTTTTTTTTAAGATGGAGTTTCGCTCTTGTTGCCCAGGCTGGAGTGCAATGGCACGATCTTGGCTCTCTGCAACCTCCGCCTCCTGGGTTCAAGCGATTCTCCTGCCCCAGCCTCCTGAGTAGCTGGGATTACATCCCAAGTAGCTGGGATTACAGGCATGCGCCACCACGCCTGGCTGATTTTGTATTTTAAGTAGAGATGAGGTTTCTCCACGTTGGTCAGGCTGATCTTGAACTCCCGACCTCAGGTGATCCGCCTTGGCCTCCCAAAGTGCTGGGACTACGGGCATAAGCAGGTCTCGCCCAGCCCTTCTGAGCCTCTTGAATACAACATTCCTGCCATGCAAGTTTGTCTTAAGGATTTAAGTGGTTTGGGGAGGGTCTGGAGGAGGGTGAATTTTGAGCCGTCCCCAGCAACTCCTCTCTAGGCCCTCCCGCTAATAAAACCCAAGTAAATGTGCACTTTGCCCGTCCCCTCGTAACTGTTCTGCATCTCCTATCCCAAGCCGATTTCCGCCCCGGAGGTCCTTCTCTGTAGAAATCCTGACGCAGCCCCTGGGCTCCTTCGCGGTGACGGCTACCCTTTTTTATTTGTAGCTGGAGTGTTTTGTGCGTACGTTCTCAGAACAACAAAGCGGAGCTTTTAAAGGCTTTTCTGTGGGGTCCACAGCCTAGCCACTCCCAGCCCCGGCCGTGGCCTTGGAATAAATGAAATAAGCGAACCCCGCCCCCCGCCCCAGTCAACCCCGCAGGCAGCGATCTCGGGCCCCGGTTCCGGCGGAGGCAGCCCCGTGGGGGAAGGGGTGGTACTCCTCTAGGCGGGGTGGGGGCCTTGGGGCCACCTACAGGGGCTTTGTCCCCATCCCCTGACCCCAGTTCGCAGGGTTTCACCCCGCAGGGCTCCGAGCCCCTCTTCCCCAGCCAGTGCGCTCAGGCACCCGCCCACTCCCGACTGTGTCCCCGGCGGTTTCCCCGGGCAGGAGGTGACGAGAGCGGGTGCGAAGCCGGGGAACTGGTAGCGCGAGCTGTGGGAGGGCGCGGGCGGGGCTGCGCGGCGGTCACGTGGCGCGGGGCCGGGTGGGTACTTAGGGCCGGGGCGGGCGCAGGCTACGGCGGCTGCGGGGTTCCGGCAACAGCACGAGCTCCGGCTCCGTGCGTGCAGGTTGCAGGCCCAGGCTCTCGGCGGCTGCGCTCGGTGAGTGCGGGCGGCGCGGAGCGTCGGGCCACCGCGGTAGAAGTGACCTTGGCTGGGACGGGGCCACCCGGGCGCTGAGACGGGTCCCTCTGCGCCCGCAGCGGGGTCGGGGCGCAGCCTTGCGGCTTCCCTGGGGGCGGGCGGGGAAGGGGGATCCTCCAGACTGTCCCTGCCTGGCGGGCGGGGGGGTGGAAGCTCGCGGGCTCCGAAGCGTCCGCGAGAAAAGCGGAAAACAGCCCCGCCGCCCACCCCTTCCTCCGGCTGTGCGCGGGACCCCGGCCTTGGAGCGGGGACGCAGCCAGAAGCCCGGAGGGAGGCGCCTGGGAGGAAGAGCTTGGCCTGGCCGGGCGACTGCTGCGTGGATTGCGCTCCCAGCGCCTGGGCCTGGGCGTCCTCCCGACAAACTGCCAAGATAATCGCATCTGCCGGCATCTGTTTTCGTTTTTTACCCTCCTCACTCCAAAGGATTTGCCTGCGCAACTTTGGGATGAGGAGAGAAAATTCCTCGGAGCTCAGAAGACAGGTGCTGTCGAAGAACCAGGATCTGGGACTGGGTGGGCTGGGGAGGAACCCGCACCGAGTTAAATCCGTAAACAAGAAGAGAAACTAAGCAGGGGCGAGTGGGCGATTGGATGCTGGGTGGGGAGAAGGCGGGGGCGCTCGCTGCACATGGACTCCAGGAGAGGGAGGCCGGACAGAGTCCCTGGGGTGCCACCTCTCCCTCGGTTTGTGGCCTTGGAGGTCAGGGGGAATTGGGCTTTGGGGAGTAGCAGCGGGTGCCTGGGTGTGGGGCGCTGCAGGCAGGCTGGGGTGGGCGACCCAGGTGGAAGTGAACTGCACTTAGCTTCTTGATGGGCCTCGCTCACTGCCTTCCCCAGGCACTGAGGAAGCCAGCAGGCTGGTGGGGAAAAGGACCCTAGGTAAGGCCCCGCACTCCTCTTGACCGAGGACAGACCCCCAAACCCACTGGAGAAGGGACGCTGTGGGGTTCAAAGGGAGACCTGGCACCTTTCAACATCCTGGAAAAACTGATCCCCACTGCCTCCTCCTGGAGGTTAGGGTAGCTGAGATGCACCCTCTTGGAATCTAAGCATTCGGGAAGGTAAGGCCAAGAGGCCTGAGGGCGTTGGCTTGCTTTTTCTTCCATAACATCCGTTCTTAAAGGAGAACTGTTTTTGTTTTTGTTTTTGTTTTTTTTGAGACGGAATCTTCCTCTGTCGCTCAGGCTGGAGTGCAGTGGCGCGATCTTGGCTCACTGCAACCTCCACCTACCTGGTTCAAGCGTTTCTCTTGAGTAGCTGGGATTACAGATGCCCACCACCACATCTGGCTAATTTTTATATTTTTAGTAGAGATGGGGTTTCACCATGTTGACAAGGCAGGCCTCGAACTCCTCACCTCGGGTGTTCCGCCCGCCTCAGCCTCCCAAAGTGCTGGGATTACAGCCGTGAGCCACTGCATCTGGCCAAGAACTGTTTGTTGGCTCTGGTGATAGTGACCCAGAACCTGCAAGCGCCTGGAGAAAGGGGCTGGGCTGCCCACCCTGTGTAGCTTTCCCAAAGACAGAGTCGAATGTCTGCTGGAGAACAATGGCATCCCCTCCTTTTTGGTCATTTGTCCCCCAGCTGAGGGTACCCCTGGTGGAAAGGCACAGGTCCCTTGGCCTGGGTGGCAACGCAGGCAACACATCCCTGGCACAGCTCTCGCTCCAGCAGCTCTCCTGGATGTTGTTGGCTCAGGACAGCTGTTTCCAGCTGGGCAGGCCTTGAGACGTGGTGGCCCTTTGGCTCCAGGTTGAAACTGCCCATGTGAGGCTGATTTAGCAATTTGGTGAGGCTCTTCCTGCAGGCAGGTTCTTTTCCCTCCGCAGCTGCTGGAACTGGGAGTTGGAAGAGAAGTTGCACCTATTTTAGGGGTAAAAGATTTTCTGTTGCTCTTAGTTGGACTGGGAAGTGAAGGGAGATCATGTTTCAGGGGTGCCTTGAGATGTCTATAGGTGATTTTCGTTTTCTTTTCTTATGACGGAGTCTTGCTCTGTTGCCCAGGATGCAGTGCATTGACGTGATCTCTGCTCACTGCAAATTCAGCCTCCCAGGTTCAAGCAATTCTCCTGCCTCAGTCTCCCAAGTAGCTGGGATTACAGGCACCTGCCACCACACCTGGCTTTTTTTTTTTTTTTTTTAAATAGTATTTTTAGTAAAGACGGGATATCACCTTGTTGGCCAGGCTGGTTTTTGAACCCCTGACCTCAGGTGGTCCACTTCGGCCTCCCAAAGTGTTAGGATTGCAGGTGTGAGCCACTGCGCCCAGTGGTGATTTTCCAAATTTGGTAATGAGTTGTGGTTGTGTAGAATAATGTCCCTTCCTTTCGACATATGGACTGAATACAGGTATGCTGCCTCTTCTCTTTTTTGAGGGAGAGTCTAACTCTGTCACCCAGGCTGGAGTGACACAATCTCGGGTCACTGAAACCTCTGCCTCCTGGGTTCAAGCAGTTCTCCTGCCTCAGCCTCTGGAATAGCTAAGATTACAGGCATGCACCCCCGCGCCTGCCTAATTTTTGTATTTTTAGTAGAGATGGGGGTTTCACAACGTTTTCCAGGCTGTTATTGAACTCCTGACCTCAGGTGATCTGCCGGCCTCAGCCTCCCAAAGTGCTGGGACTACAGGCGTGAGCCACCGTGCCTGGCCTGCTGCCGCTTTTCCATGGTCTGGCATAAGGAAGTTACTGGAAATCTGTGCGGTTGAGTGATATGAGCTGGGCACTTCCACAGGGCTCAGGTAAAGGGGAATGGGGGGTGACAGGCAGCCGAGTCTAAGGGAGGCGTGTACAGGTGTACTGTGCCTGTGGGAGGTTGGGGTGGCAGGCAGCAGTCTCTGTGCCTGGTCCCTCGCTGCCTGAGAAGAGTGTGTAGGAGGCAAACCTTGCGCTCTGGCTTGGCTGTTAATGTTTAGATTTACCCTAGCTTGTGTGGTCTAGGAGGCTTAAGAATGAAATTTCCGGCCGGGCGCGGTGGCTCAAGCCTGTAATCCCAGCACTTTGGGAGGCCGAGGCGGGTGGATCACGAGGTCAAGAGATCGAGACCATCCTGGTCAGCACGGTGAAACCCCGTCTCTACTAAAAAAAAAAAAAATACAAAACATTAGCTGGGCATGGTGGCGCATGCCTGTAATCCCAGCTACTCAGGAGGCTGAGGCAGGAGAATTGCCTGAACCCAGGAGGCGGAGGTTGCGGTGAGCCGAGATCGCGCCATTGCACTCCAGCCTGGGTAACATGAATGAAAATCCGTCTCAAAAAAAAAAAGAAATTTCCACTCTGTGTTTAGACTTTGAACTAATCTCGTTTTCAGCTTCAGGCCTTATCCTCCCCCTCTGTAGACCACTCTTGTGCCTGTTTCCCGGTCTTTACAAGGGCCATTGTATCCCGTCTGCTGCTCCTCTTTCGGATTCTCCTGTACTTTTTTTTGGTACATTCATTCATTCATTCATTTATTGTTTGGTTGACAGGGTTTTGCTTTGTCCCCCAGGCTGGTGTGCAGTGGTGCGACCACGGCTCACCGCAAGCTCAGCCTCCCAGGCTTAAGCGATCTCCCCACCTCAGCCTCCCAGAGTAGCAAGTAGCTGGGACCACAGGTGGCACCCAGGATTTTTTTTTTTTTTTCTTCTTTCTTTCTTTAGACAGGGTCTCAGGGTGTCACTGTTGCCAGGGCTGCTCTGAAACTCCCGGTTTTAAGTGATCCCCTTGCTTCTCCCACTCAGGCCTCCCAAACGTTGGAATTACAAGGCATGAGTCACCTCCAGGCCCTTCTGTACTTTCAAAACTCTGCTTCAGTCTATAAACAATGTTATTAAAGTTTATATGGCTTCAGTTACACTATATGTAGCCTTTTTCACTCAGGGTTGTGCCATTCATTTCTGTTGATACATCCAGTTCTAGCCTGTTTGTCTTAAGTGCCTAGTGTGTTATCCACTGAGGGACAGTATTACTTCCTTTTTCCTATTATCCTGTGCTATGGTAAATGTCCTAGTGTCTCCTAGATGCTTAGAAGACTTTCTGCAGGGTGAATGCAGAAGGAGAGCCTATTTCCGGGCCATGCGGTGTGCGCATCTTGCGTTTTGCTGGGCATTGGCAGAGGGTTCTCCAGTGTGGCGGAGTGGATACTCCAGCAGTGTGCACAGTTCCCGTTGCTCATGTTTACCGACATAGATACCACCAGACTCTGATTTTTGCCCATTTGATGGAAGTGGTACCCCTGTTTTAATTTTCATGACCAGAAATTCAAATTTAATTCTTTGCCATAGGAAAGCATTAATCCTCTTATGCCTCGTGTTCCGTTATTGGAACACTAAGCCTGTGGGAGTTATTTACATCCTGCTCAAGGTCATTACTGAGGTCTGATTTTTCACTCATCGAAAAATTTGCAGAATCGCAAGCTCCTGCATAAATGGATTAATGAATCACATTTTTCCCTGTTTGTATTGTTGGCCAGTGATGGCATATGTGCATTTTGTTTGTTTGTTTGAGATGGAGAGTCTCTCCGTCACCGGGCTGGAGTGCAGTGGTGTGATCTCAGCTGACTGCAACCTCTGCCTCCCAGGTTCAAGTGATTCTCCTGCCTCAGTGGGATTACAGGCACATGCCACCATCCCCAGCTAATTTTTGTAGTTTTAGTAGAGACAGGGTGTCACCATGTTGGTCAGCCTGGTCTTGAACGCCTGACTTTGTGACCCACCCACCTTGGCCTCCCAAAGTACTGGGATTACAGGCATGAGCCACTGTGCCCGGCCCCTATTTATTTTTATTTTAAATTTTAATTTTCTAAATAGAGATGGGGTTTTGCTATCTTGCCCAGGCTGGTCTTAATCTCCTGGGTTCAATTGATCTTCCCACCTTGGCCTCCCAAAGTGTCAGAATTACAGATGTGAGCCAGTGTGCCCAGCCCAGAACTGATGTTTTATAAATGCTGCGTTCTGAGAAGGTTGTGTGGCTGGCAGTCTTG